ATGCAGGTCTTCTCAATACCATATACATGTGGTAGGCCATGCACTGCATTTAAGCATTAAGAATTTAAGGCTTTTTGAATCATTTGTGTGAGGAGGATTTTGCCTAAGAATATGTCTACACTGTAAGAATAGGTGAGTTCTTCACTTGGGTAGCTCACTTGGGTTAAAATGTTTCAGAGTAGCAGCCGTGTTAGTCTGTATCCGCAAAAAGAAGAACAGGAGGACTTGTGGCACCTTAGAGACTAACAAATTTATTAGAGCATAAGCTTTCGTGGACTACAGCCCACTTCTTCGGATGCATATAGAATGGAACATATATTGAGGAGATATATATACACACATACAGAGAGCATAAACAGGTGGGAGTTGTCTTACCACCTCTGAGAGGCCAATTAATTAAGAGAAAACAAACTTTTGAAGTGATAATCAAGCTAGCTCAGTACAGACAGTTAGATAACAAGTGTGAGAATACTTACAAGGGGAGATGGATTCAATGTTTGTAATGGCTCAGCCATTCCCAGTCCTTATTTAAACCGGAGTTGATTGTGTCTAGTTTGCATATCAATTCTAGCTCAGCAGTTTCTCGTTGGAGTCTGTTTTTGAAGTTTTTCTGTTGTAATATAGCCACCCGCAGGTCTGTCACTATACACACATACAGAGAGCATAAACAGGTGGGAGTTGTCTTACCACCTCTGAGAGACCTGCGGGTGGCTATATTACAACAGAAAAACTTCAAAAACAGACTCCAACGAGAAACTGCTGAGCTAGAATTGATATGCAAACTAGACACAATCAACTCCGGTTTAAATAAGGACTGGGAATGGCTGAGCCATTACAAACATTGAATCCATCTCCCCTTGTAAGTATTCTCACACTTGTTATCTAACTGTCTGTACTGAGCTAGCTTGATTATCACTTCAAAAGTTTGTTTTCTCTTAATTAATTGGCCTCTCAGAGGTGGTAAGACAACTCCCACCTGTTTATGCTCTCTGTATGTGTGTATATATATCTCCTCAATATATGTTCCATTCTATATGCATCCGAAGAAGTGGGCTGTAGTCCACGAAAGCTTATGCTCTAATAAATTTGTTAGTCTCTAAGGTGCCACAAGTCCTCCTGTTCTTCTTTTTGCGGATACAGACTACCTGCGGGTGGCTATATTACAACAGAAAAACTTCAAAAACAGACTCCAACGAGAAACTGCTGAGCTAGAATTGATATGCAAACTAGACACAATCAACTCCGGTTTAAATAAGGACTGGGAATGGCTGAGCCATTACAAACATTGAATCCATCTCCCCTTGTAAGTATTCTCACACTTGTTATCTAACTGTCTGTACTGAGCTAGCTTGATTATCACTTCAAAAGTTTGTTTTCTCTTAATTAATTGGCCTCTCAGAGGTGGTAAGACAACTCCCACCTGTTTATGCTCTCTGTATGTGTGTATATATATCTCCTCAATATATGTTCCATTCTATATGCATCCGAAGAAGTGGGCTGTAGTCCACGAAAACTTATGCTCTAATAAATTTGTTAGTCTCTAAGGTGCCACAAGTCCTCCTGTTCTTCTTTTTTCATGTACTCAGTAGCAACTTCAGCCTTTTGATAAAGATGGGCGAGCTTTGGTGTGGAGATTGAATAAAGCTGATATCTAAATAAACAAACAACTAAGACTATATGAAGGGCTGAGGGTTCCACTAAGGGCAAATTTATTATTGGACTTTTCTTCTCAACAGACCATCTGAGGGCCCCCATGTCATTGTTTACTTTGTAAAGAAAATTGGCTTGTAGAACATGTTGACAGTTCTCACTCCAGTTCCCAGTGGGCAAGTGTGCATAGTATAACTGGGTTCAAAAGAGAACTGGGTAAGTTAATGGAGGATAGGTCCATCAATGGCTATTAGCCAAGAAAGTCAGGGATGCAACCCCATGCTTGGGGTGATCCTAAAACTTTGACTACTAGAAGTCGGGAGCAGAAGACAGGGATGGATCACTTCATAATTGACTTGTTCTGTATAGTCTCCCTGAAGGTCTGGCATGGGCCACTGTCAAAGACAGGATACTGGGCAAAATGGACCATGGTCTGACCCAGTATGGCAGCTCTTATGTTCTTATAGAATAAAAATACCATCATGCTTGGCACTAATATATGCCCTTGGCAGACACACCATGGATTAAGAGAGTTAGAGATGGAATCTATCCATTCTCTCCTACAGGTGTTCTTTCCAAATCAGGAGTGAGGTACACTAGAGGGGCAGTACAGGGAAATTTGTAAAGCCACTGTCTGTGCTGTACCTGTTCTGGGGTGCAACAGATGACTTCAGCCTCCAGAGACATCTTCAAAAGTACTAAAGTCAGTCTAAAAATTTTGAAGAACAGAGGAAAGTTGATTTACTCATGAGGTCAGTTATTTATCTCAGGAACCTAACTGTTCAATCCACAGTCAAGCTAACCTTCATATTTGGGCTAGAAATCCAGGATAAACAAGAAAATAACTCATTCATATGAAGCAGAGAAATATTTCCCTAAAGGCTGATGTGCTGGTTGTAAAGCTGAGTACTTCGGCAAGAAATAATGGAGAGTAAGCGAGAGCCACTACTTCATCTGCTCTGACTCGTCTTAAGACTGACTGTATGCATTGCTAGTAGGTATATGTTATTTTATATTTTCTTAAAAGCAATACCATGATATGCAGTGAGTGGATGGGGATATAATCTGCATCACAAATAAAAGATACAAGTGGTTAGATGACAAGCAATTTTATTTTGCAAAACAATCACTATACAGCAACAAATACAATTGCAAATTGGATTGAAAAACATGAACTAACTACCACCAGCCATTCAAGAAATGTCTCTTTATGGTAACAGGCTCTAGAATTATCAGAAAAAACACAGGTTTGTAACGGCAGACTGTATTCCTCCAAATCCCAGCATACAGAATATGATTTTTTTTGTTTCTTTTTTCTCTTTGCTAAAGTTGAAGTGGCTTTTTTGCCTGACCTTTAAGTCTGAAAGTAAATTATTTTCCTGCCGAGGGCATTGCTTGAGTAAGATTACTAAGAGCGAGTGAGCTCTACACACACCTAGGCTAAAATTCTATCTGCTTCATTTTATATAACAAAAGTGATCTACACTTAAAGACATCTGTCTTTGAAGAGATGTTCATACTTGATTTTCAGAAAATATTTTGGTCCAGCCCAGCAAAAACTTTTCTCATATACAGTAGTCCACATAGACCGCCTTTCAACTCCCTTTGGGTTGTGTAGATAGGCCAGTTTATATATATTTGCAAGCAGTCATAATGAGGAAAGAAATGTTGCTACTGTACATTAACATAGTGTTAGCTGGCTAATACCATTTACTGCTGTACAGTGAAAATATGTGTTGTCTAGTGGACACAGGAGTATCCTCATCATTGTTAGTTTCTCCTTCATTGTTGCTGGACCAAGTTCTGCTCAACTTTTACTGGATTTCTTCCTGCCTAGGATTACATAGAAACAGATATTTTGCAGATGTAGAGACACCCAGAGTGCCTTTTCCATTGTCCTACAACTCAACAAATATACTCAGTTTTGATTCTCCCATGCCTATCCGATTTGGCTTAATTTAAATTTTCTATTTATTCACTGTTACAAATAGAGAGAAGTTGGCTCTTAGATGTCACTGACGGGCTAAACTTGCCAACAGAATAGCACTGTTAAAGACGTGGGTTCCAGAAAACTGGAACATGGCCACTAAGTGCTTGCAAAGTTTTTAAACTGACACTCTTCTTGAGAAGTTAAGATTCTTATGAGCTTTTTCAGTGAATATCTAGAGTTGCGTAACGTAACTTGCATTTTATTTAACATAAACTCTTGGTTTCTTTTATCTTCATCTAGCTCCTCACAAAAGTTCTAGAACTCTTTCTATGGAAGGACAATTATTGATTACAAGGACTTTGCTTGAATTAAGACAAGAAAGCTCATTTCAAAGCATGAAGTAAATGACTTGGTGTGTTACATCAGTTTGACTTTGGATGTGTATGTGCAATAACTAAACTTCACCATCTACAGAATGTGGTTTTGTTTTTTTTTAAAAGCAGGATAAAAAGTACTTGAGTCATAGTTTAAATACTGTTCTGACCAGCTGTGTTCAACTTCAGTGAAGCTGAGGCTGAAGAGTACCTTAGGCTCTTCCTAACATTGGCAAAAGGCATAATAAAAACACTGCACGGCGCATCTGCATTAATTGATGGAGAGCAACATGATCAGAAATACTGTTCTTGTTCCTCTTTTTGTTTTTCTTAAACAATGGCAAGACATTTTTATGGACCACACCAAACATTATTTCCAAGTAAATTCCCATTGGTTATTCTAAGCAACAGTACAGCAATTACAAGGCAGAAATCAGAATCCTCTTGATGCACTTTAGATGGTTGCTAAACTCCATGTCTTTTGTATAAAATAACTGACTTACAAACAGCATTCCGTGCTTTAGAGTGTGAAAAAGCTTTTTGCGGAGTTGATGTGTGGGGCTATTTAGGAGTTCATCTTCAGTAAGGTGCATGGAGTTTGAGCCATATAATTCATCTTAATGCCACGGGGAACAACTGCTTGGCCAAAATCTCCATTCACCACACTGAAGATTTACTCTTTAGTATTTGTGCAGATTAATACTAAATTTAATTCTGTGGAATCCTTTGCTATTAATTATAAGAATCTTCTGCGCAGACACAAACATCATCTCTATGTTCTTTTCAGATCAATCCCCAACACACACACACACACACACTAAAAAGAACAGAGTACTCAAAAGCTTCCAATACACAAGGTTGACTTAATACACAATTCATGTCTAGCTCAGTTGACAGTGTAAAGATTAGCTAGAGATTTCAAAAGGAAGAGAGCCAACAATCTGCAAGTGTGTAAATTGGTCATTTTATAATGTCTACTGTACATAACATCAGCAGATTTGTTATCCACTGATGAGTAATACCACCATATTACCTTCAGCAGTGTTTTCTTAGTGTCCATAATGTTGTGTTGGAGTTCTCACAAGTAACTCCCTTAGATCTGATGTTTATGTGTCTCTCTGCAAGTTTATGCACACTTTTCTTATACTTTTTATAGTCAACATACACTTGCTGCTTCTTTGTTGAGATTTAAAGATGCCCTATTTATCTATTCAGTCACCTTGGTGATCCAGGCTAGGGAGTTCGTTTTATCTATCTATTTAATTTATTAATTATAATTTATTGGCATCTCTACAGTGTTTACTGCTATACTACCAGAGTGCCCGAGTGTACACATAAGACACTACTGAAGGTATGGAATGACACCCCAATACTTTTTTCAACTTTAGCAAAAGAAAAAAATTCAATGAAATAAATCCAACATTCATTGTTACTACAGAAGTTTAAAAAAAAAAAGCTAAAACCAAACTGTTTTTGATTTTAAAAAATCCAGAATCCAAACCCACCTCTTTGGAAACCCTTTTTCTAAACATCTGGAACTCACAAAATCAGTCTTGGTGAAAAAAGGAGGGTGGGGAAAAGGAATAATTTTTCTAGCATCACAGAAGAGACTTGCATCTGACACTAAAACAGGGTCACGGCTTTTAGTTGTTACAGAAAGCAATTTCATGCTAAACGTTTTTGTCTTTTTATGTATTTTTTTCTGAATAGGGAAAAAAAACCCTGCTAACATCTACTTTTACATACCTAAAATTGCAACACCAAAGGGTGCAAGAGACACAGATACTGTGAATAAAGAAGTATAATATTCAAGTATATGAGGGCGTATCACAAATGGCCACAGAGAAATATATATATCTATAATACTGTATCAAACAGATGGAAAGGATGTGAAACCGGTAGTGTGTACACAAATCTAGCCGCTTAACCGACATTCTAATCAGACACAAGCCCATTGAAATGGAAGTGCTTCCTTTCAACAGCGTTTTTGTTTTAAAAATGCCACTTCCTCAAGCACAATTCAAATGTTTTTCAACTACTATTTTTAGTTATCAGTTAAATAATTTATTGGAATCAGCTATACACTGACATAATTATCCAGGCCCCAAAACGTTAATAACTTAATCCAGTCTTTCTCCTTCTACCCATTTATACAAAATAACACTTTTTAAAATTAAACTTGATTTCCTTTATATGCCCTTCCCATCCGGTAACTAGGCTCTTCAGTTTAATTTAACCTGTAATAAGTTACAATGGGCGACTTTTTTTTCCTCCCACCCATCAACAGAACTGTGAAATGAGCAACTTGGGATAGTAGCAAGTCAGAAAGAGGTGAATGGCCCTCAGGCACATGGAAAGGTAAAAATGCATTTTATCATAGTACGGTACTCCATGCAAGACAGAGCAGAGCGACAATAATCGTCCAATGTCATACACTGCAATTGCATACCCATGTAAAGCCAGTGTCTTCCTGCTGTAAATGGAGATCAGGCCAATTTCTGCATCTATTTAATTATTTTGGGGGTTTTTTTTATTGTATGGTTGCTACAGTCTTGGGATGTGACTTAATTTTAGACATGGTAAAGAATGAATGTAACACCTGCTCAGAGCCCATTCCTGCCAAGAGCTCATGTCTAAATATTATTACTTCATACACTGCTAAATGGAGCAAATTCATAAGCCCTGCTTAGCAAGGGCGGCCGTGACATCTTCAGCGAGGGTAGCAAGCTGAGGGGATTCCAGCAGGTTGATGCTTCCAGAGGACGAGACGTTGCTGAGTCTGCGCGGTGAAGGCACGCTGGACCTGCCTGGTGACTGCGTAATGATCTCGGCCCCGTGATCTACACGGGCTTTAGCATGCTCTCTGAAGTTTAGCTTCTGGCTGTCAATCTGTTCAAGAAAGGCAAAATGCATGTAAACCTTTGCTTCTATTGCTGATTTGATTTGAAACTCCTGCCTTCTGTGGTGACACCCTTTCCTAGTCACACACCATCCCACCTTTTCAGTGTGCGGCCAACTCTCTCCTTCCCACATAGGACCTGTTGGTGCTGATCACCTTCAGTTCTTGAAGTCAGTGGGAGTTGAGAGAGCTCAGCCCCTGCCAGGAGGTGATCAACAGCCTCACAGCACTGGACTCAGGAGTCACTCAGTCACCACCTTTGCTTGGGCCACCACTGCTGGAGCACGTCCTCTAGCCGACGGGCCCTGTCCTATGAGCCTGCCAATGATTCCCACCAAGGCGACAGCCGAGTGAATAACACAACAAAAATGTATCTAATAAATCTAGGCTGGGATTCCAAAGGTGCCTAATGGGATTAGGCACCCAAAGTCCACTGACTTTCAGTGGGATTTGGGTACCTAACTCCCTTAGGCAGGACTGAAAAAAACCCATCTTTTGCCTCTATTACTGAATATCCATGTGCATGTTATGTCTTCATTGAATTCATATATTATTCTACATTTTATTGGTCTGAAATGTCTTTTCTTTTTTGAAAAAAGCCTCGTAAGGATTGAACATGTGTGTATCTCTGTGAGTATTCAATATCTGTAATGGGTTAAATCCACCCTTGCGCAGAGCATCATCCCAAGGCTTAAAGTGGGACTTGAGTGGTGCATAGGCCTTCAGCTGGCCCTCTGCACGGGCATGAATTTCACCCTGTTTGAGTTGCATTGGTTTGCTGTGGTTGGTTACAACAGTCGTGATATTGTTTCAGTTCTCTGACTGGATGATCACACAAGCAATGCCAGTGTAAGTACTTGCTTGTGCAAAGTGAATATGCACATGTGTTTATGTGATTCTGATATTCGCATTGTTTGAATGTTGCTCAAATGAAATGTTCACAGGAAGCATACACAAAAGGCCAGTGAGCATGGCTGAAAGGAATATACCTAGAGCATTTTTGTAATAGTCACCCAGTGCTATTCAATACAGAGTGGCTGAGATTTTCAAAGGTGTCTAAAGGGAATTAGCGTCCAGTTTCCATTGAAATCAATTGGAGTTGAGGTAACATTATCAAGAGCGCCTAAGCCCCATTTTCAAATGTGACGTAGGCTCTTAGGAGCCTAATGTTCACTGAAAGTCCTTCTCTCTTTTTGTATGCCAATACAATGGCCCTCTGTGATTCAATGACATTAGGTGGAAGAGTAAGTTTTGCACAACTAACTGTGTTTCTTACAGGAGTGACCTTTAGAATAAAAACCCGGACTGAATTTCAGCCCAAACTTAAAACCAAACTCCAAATTTCTAAAAATTTGGTTCAGTTTTCTGGCATCTTAAAAAATACATGGTAAAATATAAACAGATCCTGCTGGTCTGCCTTCTGTTTTCAAATTTCATGCACTTTACAAATTCTCTGGGGTCAGAGGCATGTAATGTGATTCTACACTACTACTCACCCAGAGAGCCCTGGAACAAAGGAGATTTGAAGACAGCCATTGGGTCAGGATTACTAGACTGACTAAAACCCCAATGTGGATTTGGAATAGCGGCAAAGGTAGAGGTCTGGAGGCAAAACAGAAGTTCAACTGGGGAAAGGGAAAAGCATTGGGCATCAGGAGGAGCAGACTGGGAGTCACTGGCTCCTGGTTGAGAGGATTAACCATAGAAAAGTAACCTGGTTCTATCTTCTATTCTCCTGTTAGTTGCTTTTCCTGCTCTCACCTCTATAGCCCTGTATATAAGTGACACTCATTTTTCTGACCCATGTATACCTGCTGTGTAATTTATACCACGATTCATGTCACTGCTAACTTTGGGCTGAAGTGCATTCTCAAAGGAAGAAGCTCAGTTCATCAGGCTGATTTCTTACCTTGATATTGCCACCTCCAGGTGTATGGTGGGCATTTTCAAGGGAACCAACTTTAGCGTGAGCTTTTTCTTTGAAATCCAGTTTCACACTCTCAATTTTCACACGTCCCCCACCTATTCAAGCAAAAGCAAATAAAAATTAAGAAAATGAAGTAGTCCTCAATTTCAAATACACTTTGTTTTGTTTCCTGAAAATGTAGCTTGAGGGCCAACCAGGCAAATCAACTGACAGAATTAGCTATTAGTGCCTTATTTTTTCTGCCCTCCCAGTTCTGTCTGGGCACAGACATTTATTACTTCTCTGTCAAATATGATCTAATAATTCATAAAGGGCCAGAGGTGAAGAGCACCGTGCCCTCTATTCAGCAAAGCATTTCAATACAGTAGAACCTCAAAGATATGAACACCAGAGTTACCGACTGACCGGCCAACTGAACAGCATGTGAAGAAACCAATCACGCAGCAGCGGAGAACAAAAAAAAAAAAAAAAAAAAGACAAACACTGCACTGTGCCTGTACTGTATCTTGAAGGTAGGCACACCTGGGCTGCCTGTCCCCACCCCAACCCCATGCATGGGGCAGCCACTTACATCTAGTAGAGAAGACGCTAGGGCTGCCAGCCCAAGGCAGCCGGCATAGCAGAGCAGAGCAGCGCTGGGGTCTGCGCTGCTTTCACCTTCCCCCAGTTAGGGGCGGGGCGCTGTTTTCCCACACATTCCTGGCTGGGAGGGGAGGGCACTGTTTTAAGCTCCCCTCCTCTGGCTGGGAGAGGGACAAGCTGTTTTCACCCCACCCTCCCAGCCGTAAGGGGGACATGGTTGCAGTCCGATCTAGGGAAAGAAACTGCCTGCAAGGAAGCTGCTGGCACTGAGGAGAGAGTTTAGCTGCTGCTGGAACTGGAGCCCAAACTGCACTTTGTTCAGAGTTACGAACATTTCAGAGTTACGGTCAACCTCCATTCCCGAGGTGTCTGTTACTCTGAAGTTCTACTATACTATACTATAATCATAACTTCAATGGGATTTAAACACTTGCTCAAGTACTTTGCTGAATAGGGATGGACTCAATATCTTCATCAACGATTTAAATAATGGCATAGAGAATACACTTATAAAGTTTGCGGATGATACCAAGTGGGAGGCATTGCAAGGGCTTTGGAGGACAGGATTAAAATTCAAAATGATCTGGACAAACTGGAGAAATTATCTGAAGTAAACAGGATGCAATTCAATAAGGACAAATGCAAAAGTACTCCACTTAGGAAGGAACAATCAGTTGCACACAAACAAAATGGGAAACAATTGCCTAGGAAGGAGTACTACAGAAAGGGATCTGGAGGTCATAGGGGATCACAAGCTAAATGTGAATCAACAGTGTAACACTGTTGCAAAAAAAGCAAACGTCATTCTCGGATGATCATTAGTAGGAGTGTTGGAAGCAAGACACAAGAAGTAATTCTTCCGCTCTATTCTGGACTGATTAGGCTTCAGCTGGAGTATTGTGTCCAGTTCTGGATGCTACATTTCAGGAAAAATGTGGACACACTGGAGAAATTCCAGAGGAGAGCCACAAAAGTTATTAAAGGTCTAGAAAACATCACCAATGAGGGAAGATTGAAAAAAATTGGGTTTGTTTAGTCTGGAGAAGAAAAGACTGAGCGGGGACATAACAGTTTTTCAAGTAGATAAAAGGTTGTTACAAGGAGAATGGAGAAAAATTGTTCTCTTTAACTCTGAGGATAGGACAAGAAGCAATGGGTTTAAACTAAAGTAAGGGCGGCTGAGGTTGGACATTAGGAAAAACTTCCTATCTGTCAGGGTGGTTAAGCATAGGAATAAATTGCCTAGGGAGGTTGTGGAATCTCCATCATTGGAGATTTTTAAGAGCAGGTTAGACAAACACCTGTCACGGATGGTCTAGATAATATTTAGTCCTGCCACGAGTGCAAGGGACTGGACTAGATGACCTCTCGAGGTCCCTTCCAGTCCTATGATTCTATGTGTTTTAGTAATTTGCTGAAGTGAGGCTCAGTGGAAAACCTGCAATTCCCACTTGAGTCAATGGTATCTTGTGGCCGTAGGTTCCACAGATTAAATTTGAGCTGTGTACAGAGAATTGTTATCTTTCAGTTTAAATGGAGCATTCCCCTTGTACTTGTATTATGAGAACAGGTAAATAGATCCACCTGTATCATTAGTTTGTATATCTCTATCATGCCCCCTCTTATTAATCTTATCTCTAAACCAGGGATTGGCAACGTTTGGTACGCAGCCCGTCAGGGAAATTCAATGGTGAGCCAGGACGGCTTGTTT